TAAGGACGGCACCGAGCAGGTTTGTGAGGAGTATTAAGTAAAGGGATGCATGGGGAGGGTTAGACCAGTAAGCAAAGCCTGCAGAAGGCTCCTTCTGCCTGCGAGGGGAGGCGAGCAATGGGACAGCCCCCCGGGGAATGTAGCCGGGGATGCTAAATCTAAGAAATTCCTACTTAAGTTGTTTCAAAGTTCTTAGTGACAAGGAATCAGTGACAAGTTTTTGAGAACGAGCTGAGGAACTCGAGGGCAATATAATTGGTCTTTGGAAGACTGTGATTTGTTTCAGACTTTTGCTTAAGAAAATCCCGAGTCATCTGCTTCCGGCAGGGGTGAGGGGAGGGGTAGGTCAAAAGCAGGAACACCTGAGTTAGACCCAGTGAAGATAACATCATTGTCTACGTTCCCATAGAACATTTTTCTCTGCTCTGGGGCCACATCCCCAGCCCAGACCCCAAGACAGCATCTTGGAGCTCTGGGGGGATAAGATTGTGTCGGTCCTTTTCGTATGCGTACACCAATGTCTTAGCACAAGATCTAGAACCTGTATAAGCTCCACGTGTTGATTGGATAAATATGGGAATGAGTATGTATGGAGAAGGTCAGTGGGGTGGGATCGAGTGCCCTTCCCCTTGAATCTGGGTGGGTCTGATTGTAACTTGCTTTGACCTGAGACTAGTGCTTCGGGAGCCCCGACCGGTGTTTTACATTTGCCTTATTGGGAAGCTCCGCCTGACTACCGGATGAGAAAGTTTTGGTGGAGGGTGAGTCCGCTTGGACGTGTCCCCCAAACCCTAGCGAGCATCAAGGCCCCAGACAGGGGAGTGGGGCCAGGCAGGAGCCTCCAGCCACCAGGCTACCCCGGCAGCCACCACGAGGGACAGAGAGGAAAAGCCATCCTCAGTGAGCAAAACTGTGAGCATTGAAATGATTGGCAGTGGTCTTCATGCCCCTTGACTTTGGGGGTCATTGTATATATACACAGCAACGGACAACATTAAGAGACTCGACGCTAGAGGAAGTAGTTGGGTTGTAGAAAATGCTGGTATCGCTGGAAAGCCCAGGGCCTCTGTGTCCTTTTCCTGCTGCCCTCGTGTCAGGCTCCCTCTACTCCCAACTTCTGTCTTTCTGACTCCTCCTTCTGGAAGCACTGGTCAGACCATCCCATCTGAGAAGGAACATCTATTGCTGTCTGGATCCAGTGTTGGCCCCTGTTCAACGGCAGGGGCGTGGATTCACTGAAGCTACTGTGTTCTTCCTAATTTCCTAGTGTTACTTGCCTTCCATAATCCAGGCCCTATCCCAGGAGCTGATGATACAGCAGAGAACCAGACTGACAGATGCAACCAGATGGATAAATCGTGGGATTTGCATTCCAGGATAAACTAAGATTGGGAAACTCTGGGCTGTTGTCTTCTTGTTTTAGGCATAAAAAGGGGACCCACAGAGTCATTGCAGAAAGGCATACCAGGCCCTGGAGACAACCCGATAACTACTAACTTGCCCTACTTTCTTCACCCATCTCTTGGAATTTTATACAAACAGATGACCCACAGTGATTCTTCCCTTTTTATGCAGTTTGGGATTATTCTGACACGAGCTTAGGGAACCAGCAAAACAGAACCACAATTTGTTATCGTGTGTGGAATTTAGTATTTTTTAAGAAGGATCAAAGTATTCCTCAAGGGTGCCTGGATATTATGGTCAGCTAAGCATCCACTCTTGATTTCTGCTCAGGTCGTGGGTCATGATTTCGGGGTCCTGAGATGGAGGCGAGAAGTCCCCTGGAGATTCTCCCTCTCACTTTGTCCCTCCCACCTCATGCATGCTCTCTCTACAATCATTTCTTTTTTTTTTTTCTTCAAAGATTTTGAGAGCGAGGATGAGAGAGAGAGAGAGAACAAGAAGGGGAGGATCAGAGGGAGAAGCAGACTCCCTGCTGAGCAAAGAGTCTGATGCGGAACTCCAGGATCATGACCTGAGCCGAAGGCAGTTGCTTAACCAACTGAGGCACCCAGGCGCCCTAAAATCAATTCTTATTTAAAAAAAAAAAAAAAAGCATTCACCAAAGGAAAAATTAGTATTTTATTGCTTCAACTTTAAAAAAAATTTTAGCAGTTTGTTTTGTTCCCTACCCCCTCCCGCCAGCTTTATTAGATGTAATTGACATATAATATCGCTTAAGTTTAAGCTGCAGGAGAGGACGATTGAAGTCTATATTGCAAAACGATTACTACCATGTAGCATCCATCACTTCACAGTGTGTGAAGTGGTCTGAACTTTTAAGATCTACTCTTAGTGACTTTTGGGGAGCCAGAGTGGCTCAGTGGGTTAAGCCTCTGCCTTTGGCTCAGGTCATGATTTCAGGGTCCTGGGATCAAGCCCTGCATCAGGCTCTCTGCTCAGCGGAGAGCCCGCTCCCCCTCTCTTTGCCTGCCTCTCTGCCTACTTAGGATCTCTCTCTGTGTGTCAAATAAAATCTTTTTAAAAATCTACTTAGTGACTTTCAAGTGTATAGTATTGTTAATTATAGTCACCTTACTGCATGTTAGATCCCCAGAACTTATAAAGGAGCCTGAATCCTTTGAACACCTTCACCCCCCAGCCCTGGGGTAACCACCAACTTACTCTGTTTCTAGTGATGTGGTTTTGGAATATAGGTGAGGTTCAGTGGGGTGAGGTCTGGAGTTGATGACCAAGGAAGAATTCTTGGGATCTCTTTGGTGCAAAAATGGTGACTTTATTAAAGCGTGGGGACAGGACCCGTGGGCAGAAAGAGGGGCTGCCCCAGGATCTTGCGGAGTGGTGATGATATACCTGGGAGCTGGGAGAGGTAAGAAAAAGGGAGGTTTTAAAAGAACTTTCATATGCTAAAGAGGACCCACCTGCAAGATACTTAGACCACACGGTAGTCTTGCCATTGTCCAGTTAAAGTCGTTTTCCCTTCCAGCAAGGTATTGACCTTAAGGTGGTTGGGAGGTCCCACCCAGAGTTGGGGGGTGGGTTTTAGGGCGTCAGCTCAAGCTTGGTCCTCCGCTTGCCTTCTGCTCCCTCATCACTAGTTCAGTTCTTGATTTAAATTTCCATCTATAACTGAGATCATGCAGTACATCTCTCTGACTTCTTGCTCTTAGCATAATGCCCTCAAGTTCCATCCATAATGTTGCAAATCCTTGTTTGCTGACTGAATAATGCTGCATATATATACATATATATGCAATAATTATACTTGATGTGTACTATTGTATATATACAAACTATGTATATTGTACAATTAGAGTTACAAGTCTATATATTTATACAGAGATAGACCTATGTCACATTTTGTTTATCCATTCCCCCATCAGTGGACACTCAGGTTATTCCCCGGTCCTGTTTATTGCAGTGAACACGGGCTGCATCTATCTCTTCCAGACAGTGAATTCATGTCCTTTGATGATATATGCCCAGAGTGGGGATTGCTGGATTCTATGGTTCTATTTCTAAATTCTTTTAGGGGCACCTCCCTATAGTTTTCCCTAGAGGCTGCACCAGTTTACATTCCCACCAACTGTGCTCAAGTTTCCCTTTTCTCCACATCCTGCCAACACTCGTTTCACTTTTTTTTTTTTTTTTTTCGGTTTGTTTCCTCTTTTTGGTAGAACCATTCTAACAGGTGTGAGGTGGTATCTTGTGGGTTCCATCTGCGTTTTCCTGATTAGTGCTCTTCAGCACCTTTTCATGCACTTGTTGGCTATTTGTAGGTCTTCCTCAGAAGAAAAATGTGTATCCCTTTGCCCATCTTTAAATTCGAATTTTTGGGGGGGCGGGGGCTACTGAGCCATAGCTCCTTACAGAGTTTGTATATTAATCCTTTATCAGACACATGGTTTGAAAATCTTTTCTCATTCTATAGGTTGCCTTTTCATTTGGCAGAACAGATATTGCCTTTATTTAAAGATTTTATTTAGTTGACACAGCAAGCGAGCACGAGCGGGGGTGGCGGGTGGGGAAAGCAGCATCAGGAGAGGGAGAAGCAGGCTTCCCTCTGAGCAGGGAGCCTGCTGTGGGCTCCATCCCATGGACCCCAGGATCAGGATTTGAGCCCAAGGCAGACCCTTCACCAACCAAGTCACTCCTGTTGTTTCTGTTTTGAATACTTGTGGGGGTGGCAGTGCCACAATCCTTTCTCGGCTTAAGCCCTTTACAGGCGACAGTATTTTCCCGACCCTCGCTGGCGGGCGACTCCAAACACAGGATGCAGGGCTGCAGCTGTGCGCGGACCTTCCCGCGCCAGTTCCGCTTTTGGGGGGGGAGCCTGTAGGTGAACCACCCTCCCCGTTTCACGCTGCTCCTCGGAGCTCGAGAAGCTTTAACTGAGCTCCGGCTCGGCGAGAAATCCTCATCAGCTGTGTGAGGGGACAGGAAGTCCTCTTCCGCTCTGCAAAGGGCTCGTCCTAGGACATCAGCCCAGCGACGCGCCCCCACCCCCCGCCCCCAGCATCTCTTCGGCCGCTGTAGGTCGTTTCAATATATTTTGCGAGACTTGAAGCCTGTTATTTCCCTTTCGTTACTGCTACTGTAAGAACAAACCAACCCTCCAAGGGTTGACTCGGCCAGCGGGACACGATCGGCGGAGACAGGGCTCCAGCGCAGGCCCCTCGTCCCCACCGCGCGCCTCGAAATCCCTACAAGCGGCTCCTGTACCAGGACCGCCGTCTCCAGCGCGACCCTCCCGGAAGTCCCGCCCCAGGAGAAGAGGAGTTTCCGGAAAGAATCGACGCCTTGGAAGCCGGAAGGAAGCAAGGGGCGGGGCCGTCCGGGGCACTCTAGCCCGCGCCTCTTCTATGGTCGTCGCCAATTGACAGGCCGCGAGGGGCAAGGCTCCTCGCTATTGGGCGCGCGGCCTCGCGTAGGCGGGCAGCTGGGCTCGCTGCGCGCTGATTGGCTGGGCCCGCCACGCGGGACGGAGGGGCGGGGCGGGGGGCACGCGGAGCCCGGTGACCCGCAGCGTTAGGAAGGAGGCTGGTGCATGTGGGCTCTCCGCTCGGTACTGCTGTTGCGCTCCGCGGCCGGGCGCGCCATGTCGCAGGGACCCTCCCGCCGCCAGCGGCCGCCCAAGGATCCGCTGCGGCACCTGCGCACGCGGGAGAAGCGCGGCGCGGCGTGGGAGCCCGGGGGGCCGAACACCGTGTACCTGCAGGTGGTGGCGGCCGGCGGCCGGGACGTGGGCGCGGCGCTCTACGTGTTTTCCGAGTACAACCGGTCAGTGCGCTGCGCCCGCCCCGCGTGCTGCGCGCCGGGGTCCCCCACGCGTCACCCGTGCGGGATTCCGCTGCTGCAGCCCACGGTGGACCCTCGGGGAGGGGCTGGGAGCTCCCCGGGGTCTTACATCCCACGCCCGTGGGGTTCCCGGGAGCCCCAGCGCCCTCTCTCCAGCCTGGGGCGCCGAGGCCCACTTGGCACACGTTGAGCCGTGCGCCCCAACACCGGGACCTCATGGCTGGCGTGTGGGGTAGCAGGTCAGGTGACGGGGGAAAGGACCCAGTCCCCTGCTGGCCTCCGTCCGGGAGGGTTCCCCACCAGTGTCCTCACGCCAGAAATGCAGTCCGGTAGTAACACCACATGGGGTTTTGGGGCTGCTTTTCCCGTTTTCTGTAGTGTTCAGTAAAACATCCAAACCCGTGGCCCAAACCCTCCAGAGTCCCGCCTGAGTATCTTGCGTGGTGTTCGTCTTGCAGGTACCTCTTCAACTGTGGGGAAGGCGTGCAGAGGCTCATGCAGGAGCACAAGTGAGTCAACCATTTTCTTTTGGGGCGGAGATGCTCATGGGGCTTCAAAGCCCGGGTGAGAGACAGGAGTGTTTTTGAAGCAGAAGAGAGGGTCCCTGATCCACCTGGTCTGACCTGTTCAAACGTTCATGTCCTTCTTAGGTTGAAGGTGGCTCGTTTGGATAATATATTCCTGACCCGGATGCACTGGTCTAACGTGGGGGGGTTGTGTGGTAAGTATATTCTTTCCGAGGTCAGAGGCTGGAGGGAAGTCTCTGGCATTTAGCCTGTCTTCTTGTTGCTCTCTTTTCCCCGTCCTCGATCTTCCAAGTCCAGGGGAGCTGGAATTTTTTTCTATACTTGCCCTGTCAGTTGCAGCTTGGAAAGCTGTGACTCAAAACGACAGATTTGAATGTGAATGCTGCTTCCAAGCATTGTCATCTACTCAGTTTATTGAGTTGCTGGACTGGAGATACGGGCCAGTGAACTGGAGGTTGTAGTGGGTCATGGTTAAAGGACGCGCGTTTACCACTGAGACTCAGCAGCCCCACACAGATACCCCCTCTCTGGATTGCCCCATTATTCATGCCCACCAGAGAGAGAGGTCAAGGTTGTGTCACTGCCAAAGTCCGTAAACTTTGTGACGTGGATAGGAAGGAGTGCAATGCTGAGCCCATCCCGTTCTCAGACCTGAGACCCTGCAGGGCAAGGCAGTGAGAGGCCTAGGCTGCAGAACCCAAGGGCGTCCTGGGTACCTCACTGCCTCGCCCCAGCCTCAGCCCTGCCCATTCTGGAGGCATCTGAGGAATATCTGATGTCCCCTGCACCTCCAGCAGGAGTCCCTTCTGCCCAGGGCCCATGATGAAGACAAGTAGATACGGAGCTGCTTAAGTAAGGAGCGGGCCTCCTGGTGGCAGCTGCAGGGCACCGTGACGACACAGCTGATGCTCTTTCCCCTTCCAGGAATGATTCTTACCTTAAAGGAAACCGGCCTCCCGAAGTGTGTGCTTTCTGGACCTCCACAACTGGTGAGTCCCTCCTGACTCAGCGTTCAGAGCCGACCCCTCCTTTTTTCATGTTAGTGACAAACATTTGTCTCTGCAAATTTGTTTTTGGCTCTCCAGAGTTAGCTGGTGGGGTGGGGGGCCTTTCAAGTTAGACACCCGAGTCCAAAGCAGAATTAAGTGTGTGACCTTGCACAAGTTCCTTCGAGCTACCTAAGGCTACTCATCTGTGAGATGGCTGTGAGTTCCATAAGGTTGCTAAGGATTACATGAAATACACATCCGAAACACCAAGCCAACCTACTACGCCTTGGGCACCAAGGAGGCCCACAGGGAATGTTAGCATTTATTTTTATTAAATTTTAGACCTCTTTATACCTTTCAGACTAGCTTCTGAACACTGTTGAGAAGCTGTTGTGCGCCTTGTTAATTAACACTGCTGGCTGACAATTCATTTCCCAGTTCCTGAGATGAAAGGTGGGGCGCCTGGGTGGCTCAGTCCGTTAAGCATCTGTCTTTGGCATAGGTCATGATCTTGGGGTCCTGGGATTGAGTCCCGCTCAGCGGGGAGCCTGCTTCACGCACTCTCTCTCTCTTAAATAAATAATATCTTTTTTTTTAAAGTTTTTATTTATTTATTTGACAGAGAGAGATCACAAGTAGGCAGAGAGGCAGGCAGAGGGGTGGGGGGGAAACAAGGTCCCCACTAAGCAGAGAGCCCGATGCAGGGCTCGATCCCAGGACCCTGGGATCATGACCTGAGCTGAAGGCAGAGGCTTTAACCCACTGAGCCATCCAAGCGCCCCTTAAATAACTAATATCTTAAAAAAAAAAAAAAAAAAAAGGTACCAGTCACCAAGTCCTATTAATTCTGTCTTCAAAACAGTACCTCAAATCTACTCATTTGTCTCCTCCCTAAAGCCTTCCATATCTGTTGTCTCCTGTCCCGTCTACTGTGACAGCTGCATATCCCCCCACAGTGGCCAGAGGGGTCTCTTTGGGGCATACAAGTAGGCACATCACACCCAGAACCCTCCGGGCTTCTCTGCAATGCAGCACAAACACCCATTATCGGGCCTGCTAGCCTTCTGGGCCCTGGCCCTTGCCTGCCTTCGGCATCTGTCTCCAGTCTCCCTGCTGGTGCTCTGTGGGCTGCTCTCGGCTCTCCCCTGAAGCCCCTTCCCGTTCCAGGGCTTTCTTTCTGAGCCTTTGGGGCTCTGCTGAAAGGCTGTGCAGTCAGGATCCTGCCTGACTTCCCACACAGGGGACATCCCGGCCCCTGTGTCTCCAGCTTCTTGTAGGTCCTAAGCGTGACTGCTGTTACCTGGTTGCCCGTGCTTTTTCATTCCAGTTCTGTCGCTGCTGCATTTTTAAGTTGCACCAGGACAGGGACCTCGTCCCCTGCTCACTGCAAAACCCTAGGCACCTGACATATAGTGGACACTCAGTAAATATTTGTGTAAAGGCGGTTCAGGGTACTAAAGTTCATGTTGATGCCTCCTTTTTTTAAAGATTTATTTATAAGTGTGAGGTGATGGATGTTAGCCACAGGGTGGTAGTCATGTTGTAATGTAGACTTAAATCATCTCGTGCAGCTTAAACTTACACAATATTATATGTCAGTTACATATCAGTAAAGCTGATGGGGGTGCAAAATAAACTAAATTAAAAAAATAAAAACTAAATTTTTTAAGCTTTTTTTTAAGATTTTATATATTGGAGAGAGAGAGCACGCGCGCGCGCTAGCATGAGCAGGGGGAGGGGCAGAGGCAGAGGGAGGAGCAGGCTCCCTGCTGAGCAAGAAGCTGGACGCTGGACAAGGGGCTCGATCTCAGGACCCTGGGATCATGACCTGAGCCCAAGACAGATACTTAACCAACTGAGCCACCCAGGTGCCCCATCTACTAACTTTTTAAAAAAGAGAGTACAATAAAATACTGATTTTTTTTTTTCTTGGTGAGTAGTTTCAAAAAGATTTTACTTATTTAGAGAGTGTGCTCATGTGTGGGTGAGTGGAGGGAGGGGCAGAGGGAGGGAGAGACAGGGAGATAATCTCAAGCAGACTTCCTGCTGAGCAGAGACCCCCATTGCAGGGCTCGATCTTACAACCCTGAGATCATGACCTGAGCCAAAATCACGAGTCAGACCCACAACCGACTGAGGCACCCAGGTGCCCCTATGTTGATGCGTCTTGATAATTCTCTTGTGCTGCTCTTCTGCCTTTATACAACAACTGTCACTGCTTCTTCCTTTGTCTTTTGTAGGAAAAATACCTAGAAGCTATCAAGATATTTTCTGGTCCATTGAAAGGAATAGACCTGGGTATGTTCCCGAGTGTGACTCCTCATCTGCCATTTCTTTCTTCTGCATACCCTAGTCTCCCAAACTAGAATCCATAAAGCTTGGACTAAATTAAACCTTAAAACCAAGTGTTTCATCAGTGAGATGAATTTTGAAAATAATGCCTGTTGTAATTTCTGTGACCCCACGTCATGCCCCCAGATACAGGTTAGAGATGGTTCTCAGTGAGACTGTTGCGGCTGCGCTGGGAGTGAAAATACATGGGTGCTTCTTGCCTAAAAATGGTCATTTATTCAGAGATTCTGGGTTCAGTGTAGATTCCCAGCAACATTCCGGGGTAAATCAGTTGCTTGCGGCCGATGATCTGGAAAGCCCGTTTTCCCCCAGCGCAGTCACTGTCCTTGGTCTTTCTCGCGCAGCTGTGCGGCCCCACTCGGCACCAGAATATAAGGATGAGACCATGACTGTCTTCCAGGTTCCCATATACAGTGAGTGCGTGAGTCCCATTTCCCAGTAGGAGGGAGGGATGCAGGTCCCAGGCCAGGACAACGTGGGGTAAAGCTAGAAACTGCTGGAATATTGATCGGCTCTGTGTACCCAGTTTTGTGTTTCTGAATATGATTAGGAAATTTAGCTGAGGAATTAAGACATGGTTCCTGCCTTCAGGGAGCTTAGGATCTTACAGACAGACATGTTCAGCTCCTAGGTAACGATCGTGGTTACACTTAGGATGTCCTAATCAGACAGCATCAGAAAGTGGGTGGTTCTCAGAAGTGCTCATTTATTTCTTGGGGCTTACTTGCCACAGATGTAAGTATCCCTCTGGGGAGAGGATGCTGAAGAGGCTTGCATGGTAACCTTTTCTGTGAATACTAATGCTGATAGAAGTGTTGTGAGCAGGTCACAGGGTCCCGGGAACCTTTACAGGCCCCAGGGCGGATGGTGTGGTTTTGACTTAGGGACACAGAGACCCTGCCATGTCCGTATTGCCCGGGAGTCTGGCCAGTCACACTGCACACCAGGTTTTACCAGTTGTGAGGAGAACAGAGGACCCTGGGGACATTTCCTTGACACTAGTCTGATCCCTGCCAAGTGCTGAAGGGACACAGATGAGAGCCCCCCAATGAGGGGCAGGGGCAGAGGAGTCGGGCTGGCCAGGAGACAAAGCCTGCAGGGTGCCTGTGGTGGAGGGGTCGAAGGGGGAGGGGAAGGAGGGGAGGTGTGGCTCAGGCGGAGGCTGCCTTGGTGGGAGAACAGTGGGGCTCTGGCTGGGAGCTCACCCCCGGGGTGTGGGGTTTGACTCTCTCCCCTGCCTACCAGGTGAGCAGAAGTGTGGAGGGCGCCAGGCATCACCGAGCCCAGAGCGACTCAGTCCAGGACGGTCTTTGGATTCCGGATCTGCTGAAAACGAGCAGCACCTTCCAGATGGTAACGCTGTTTCCACAGAACAGTGCCCCTGTTCAGAGCACGGTTTTCTTCATCGCTGCCCTTCATGCCCGGCGTTGGCATTGTTATCCCATGAGGCCCGTATCAGACACGTCCGCCGCCTCGGTGTGCTGTGGGACTTGGCCCGTGGGGACAGTGGGGAGGGTTGCCGTGAGGGCAGCAGTACAGAGCCCCGGGGCCGACCCCCAGCACTGGCTGGGCCCCAGACTTCGTGTTCAGTTTCCCCAAAGGAGAGCAGGGCCTGGCATATCGGTTCATACAGAGGCTTTCGTGTTTTTTTCTTTAACACAAAGGAATTTTTCACGAATGCAGAAAACTGCTGAGCCGACCACTCAGGTCCGTGAGCAGACCGGACCCTTTTCTTCCAGAAGGACAGCCTGCTGAGAAACGGAGTTTAATGCCAAGCTTAGATGTGTGGGAGGACTGGGACCCCTTTAGGGGGCTGCGGTCCCGTGTCGGGCAAGGCTGATGTGTTCCTGCTTCTGCCTGGATCGTGTCTGTCTGTCTGGCCAGGAAGGGGCTGACCCCGGGAGCCGTCCTCCCTGGGATGGCCCAGCTGAGGGCCCACGTCCGCATTTTCTCTGCAGGCCCGTTGGCTCTCCTGGTGTTTCACGTATGCTTGTTTATAAAGCACATTACAACTTACTTATTCTCTCTCCTGACTATGTGGGTAAAGTGTGTCATGTTTTAAAGCATTTCACTAGCCCGTTCTAAAGCTTTTCCCACTGGCGATTTGCGTTTTCTGTTCACTCCGACCTCAGGAGTGAGTAGGAAAAAGAACAGGTCTGCTGGGGAAAGAACACCAGTGTTTCTTCTGACCTTTATATGGAACCGTCGTGTCCATTTAATTTGGCACCAAATTAGACTTCAGACGATAGTAGGTCTGTGAAGCCCGTAAGTCTTCCCGTTTGCCTTGTTACAATCCGACTTGTTTTTCCTCAGGTATTGGCCAGAAAAAGAGCGGCAGGGACCCCTCCTTGGTTGTAGCTTTCGTCTGTAAGGTAAGCAGGTGCCTTTCCGGTGGGCTTTCAGTGAGCATGTGATGGGGACCCTCCATTAGCTCCCGTCCAGCGATTTCAGAGTCAGTGGCTCCAAAGTCCCCTGGGTTACATTTGCCCACAGTGGGCCGCCTTGCACTTGAGAAATGGGGGCGGCCTCGTTTGCCTTCAGGTGCATCGGGCTTTCATTCACATTCCTCTAACTCCGTTTTACTTTCTGTCCTTTCACCGTAGCTGTTCAGCCAGTAGCATCAGACTCGTTTTCATGTTGACCAGCATTCCCTGGGTCCGCACATCTGAAGTCGGTCCAGTTCTATGGAAATTCCCTTACTGTAGGGTGTTTGAAAAATTGGACCAAGGGCCTGGTTTTAACAGGGCTTTGCGCTAGAATAGGATTATCTGCAGCGAGGCTGTACGTTGTCATTTTGTGGGCGGTGATGATTTTTTTGAGGAGTAATGTTGACTTTAAAATATATTTGCAGTTCTTAAGAGATGATCACACCCACCGGGGAAAACCCTTCCGGAAGGTCAGCAGTAATCGTTATTAGCTGCAAGATCATTATCTCGTCTGTCACCGTATTTCAGTGGTCATTTTTATGAAAGTGAAGGACATCGTCTATGGGCTTGTTCCATGTACGTTTCTGAGTTTTTAGGCAGCAAAGTGATTTTCCAAGTAGGTTTCTCTGGTCATCTGTAATTGTATTAGGTCCCTCCCGCCTTCCTCAGTAGAGGTGGGCTGGCATGTGCTCTGGGTGCCGGGCCACGTGCCCCTGTAAGCCCTGGCTGTCCTCGGCCACTGTTCCCAAGACCCTTTTGTCCCTCCTTGGTCACTCGCTGTGCCTTCTGAGCGCTGCTCTCATGGGTCGGCCTGTGGGCCCTCGTCCCTCTTCTAGTTAGTGTGCTACTGCTTAGCGGAGGGTTTGGAGGCAGGTAAGCTGACCTAGTCTGAGCTCTGGGGGGTCAGCGAAAAGAGACCCAGCGTGTGAGGGCCTGAGACACAGACTGTCCCGTTAGGAGAGCATGGGCCTCAGATGGCTGCCTGCCAGCTCGGGGCCTCGGGGGCTGCATTCTGCTTCTCCTCTGTGTTCCACATGCCCCGCACCCTTGGGTGGGGACAGTTTCTCAAGGGTTGAGCTCAGCTTATCGGGGAGGGAGGGGTTTTGCCCGCCTTAGGTCTGCAAGTCCCTGTGAAACGTTAGAGCACTTGGTTTCCATCCTGAAACCCATTTGGGTCTGTGAGGGAATATTTGGTCACAGCAGGCCCGGCCAACGACATCATCTAAAGGTGTCATTGGAGCTCATCATCTGTGCCTCATACGCACACACTTGAGCTGTAATCCCTCCTCTAGGATAGCGTTTGCCAAGCCAGAAAATTCTAGAACCCTGGTAAGGCCTGAGGATCCAAATTGGAGACTTTGCCTTAAGAGTAATTTCCTTTTAAAGATCTAAGGAAGAAAATGAAAATCAAATATAATTTAGCACTCAAAGTCTTACTGATATTTTATGTGCTTTCTGATTTTGTTGTTGTTGTTACACATGAAATAAGTAGATCCTGAAAATACACAATTTTCAAGGATGGGATGGAGTGGGAGGATTGTTGTCTGCCATTCTGACATATTAGAGCGTATCCGGGATCTTTCATTACAGCTTTCCTCCAGGGTGAAAGCATCGCCGTGTGGCAGGTTGTGAAAACCACCAGTGAAAGACCGTCCATGCTTTTGTTACCCTGTCCCCATCATTGCATGGTCGGGGCCGTCAGACCGAGTGCTGGTCACGTTCTGTGACCTCCTACACGCTGTGTGCAAGATGGTGGGACAGAGGTGTTGGTCTCCGGGGACGCGAAGGAGCCTTTTCGTTTGATTTGGAAATGGATCATGTTCTATTACATCCCTAACAAGTTCACGTGGGGCCCTAACGTGCCATGTTTTAAATCACTGAGCTTCTAGTCCTAAAATATTTCAGAATACCTGGCTTCTTCGGAAGGTAGCATGGAAGGTAGCGTGCTTCCTCTCAGAGCTGTACCCGGGCTGCATTTTGAGGAACGGTGCGGTGGCCTGAGAGAAACCAGAGAGGTGCGCTTGGACGGAGGCTGATGGAAGCCCGGCTTCCTCCCCCCCCCCCCCCCCCAACCCTGGCTGAGATGGTGTTTATGTTCTCTTTGTCACAGCTTCACGTGAAGAAGGGAAACTTCCTGGTGCTCAAAGCCAAGGAGCTGGGCCTGCCAGTGTGAGTGTTGGCGGGGGGTGCGTGCTGTTGGGCCTGGAGGCCGGGGTTTGGGGGGGCACCCGTGTCCCTGCTGCATCCCGTCTCACGGGCAGCTTGCCCCTTCTTTCAGCGGGACAGCTGCTATCGCTCCCATCATTGCTGCCGTCAAGGACGGGAAGAGCATCACTTACGAGGGCAGAGAGGTGAGACGCCCCGTTTTCATGATGTTTCAGCAGTGACGGCTGGGGCCTGGAATATGGGTCCAGACCTCACGTTTGAGGGAAGCGGGGCAGCTCGGATTTCCTCACTGGGCTGACCGGTACAACAGGGTCTCTTATCTGGACTTGTCCTGCTTGGCCACGCTGGCTACCTTTGGGCATGTCTGCAGAGCACCTACTTAGAATTTGAGGGTCCTCCTCCCAACGGATGGGTGCTGTCCCCTGTCCTGGAGGTCCGGGCATTGCCTAGCAGCAGACCCTTGAGGATGGACTTTAGGCCCCCGGCCCCAGGAAATGCCACCTTGTTCTTAGCCAGGATGTTTTCTCCAGTATCTAAGATGTCCAGACCAATGGCCACAGACCTGAGGGTACCTTGGATGTCCTGCCTGGTTTTGTGGCCACCCTGGGTTTGAGACGCCCTCTGCGAGCCACTGCCTGGCATACAGAAGCGGAGCACGGGGAGGGCATGGGTGGTGATTCCCAATTGGTTTTGCACTTGTTCGGGGACAGGGGAGGGAGTATGTAAGGGGGGAGGCGTTGACTTGAAGGCCATTCGGTGTGTTTGCGGAGCTGCGACTCTGCCCTGGGAGAGAGCTGTGACCCCAGCGATTTCACAGATTCTGCCCGAAGAGATCTGTACTCCTCCGGATCCTGGTCTTGCTTTTGTTGTGGTAGAATGTCCAGATGAAGGATTCATTCAGCCCATCTGTGAGAACACCACCTTCAAGAGGTAATGAGGGCTCTGGGGGTGGGGGGAGCCCGGCCGGCATCGACAGGGTGTCGGGGGGGTCTGCCTGACCCGCGGCTGCTCCTGGCACCGAGCCGTGGCCACGGAAGTCCACGCGTTGAGTTCCAGGCTCCTACCTGGTAGGCTTTGTGCGCACAGCCTTGGTAGTGAAATTAGAAAAGATTGAAAGCCAGAGACGTGCAGACTAGAAAAGCAGTGGCCAGTTAGAGTGCTAAGTCTAGGACACACTCTAGCACTTTCTTCAGTTCTAATTAATACCCCAGTTGTTATTGGGGTTATTTTTACCTAAGTACATTTTCTTCACTTGCCTGTATTGAACCTGTGTGGGTGGGTCTGAAGGTTGTGAGACCATCTTGGTCGAAGGTCCCCGTTAAGGGACGGACTCTCCGTCCAGGCACAACTTTCATCTGCTCTCCCGTCGCCCAAGACAGCAGACCCCTTGGCGGCTCAGCTTCCATCCCAGGTAGCTTTGCCCCCCACGTCAGTGTTTCCATTTCTTTCCCGTTCTCAGTGGTTTATTCTCCCTGTGTTTCTCCGGTTCCTAATTCATATTTATGATTTGCATATAGTGCTTTATTCCGCTTAGCACAGCAGATCTTTTTTGGGCAGCCATGATGTTTTAAATTCGCTTTGGAAGGTCTTCCTGAGATGGACTTTGTTCTTTCTGGGTGAATCCGGGTCCTGTGGTGGCACTGGCTTCGTGCTGCCATCAAGTCACGGGCAGCAAAGCCGCGTGGAGTGGCTGTGAGCTGAGGGGCGTGTGCGCTGACGCAACGCTGCCAGGTTTACCTGCACGACCCGGAGACACCTGGGTCTGCAGGTGCGTGTGTGGAGGGGTAGGTAGGAAGTACTGCATGTGCTTTATTTTTAATGGGAACTGGAAGGAAACACCTCAGTGTTAGTAAGTGACGACTCTAGACGGGGGAATTACAGACGATTTGAACTCTTTGTGCCCGTGGCTCGGGTCTGCTGGAAGGCAGATGGCCAGGTGCGACTGCAGGTGCCCACAATTCACGGGGGAGGGTCCTGTGAAAGTGAAAGCAGAGCTCGCGCTGAGAAGGCCCAGGAGCAGCCCCAGAGCCTGAGGACTAGAGAAGCCCCGATGTGGCGCCTTGGCGGGCTCAGACACTATGGGAGCAGCCCAGGCACAGCCTGGCCTGGGCGTGGAGGCCGGGGTCACTGCAGGCCCTGAGAGCAGACCGTGCGGTGCCCTGCCCTGGCCGCACAGTCCCCGTTTGGGAAGGTTCTGAGTGTGCTTCTCTGCAGAGCCCAACTGCGCTCCTCCTCCCTTCTGCCCAGGTACCAAGGCCATGCCGACGCCCCTGTGGCGCTGGTGGTTCACATGGCCCCACAGTGTGTGCTTGAGGACCCCAGATACCAGCAGTGGATGGAGAGGTAGGACGCATTTCCCCCTGTCCTCCCCACTGTCCCCTTCCTGCCAGGGCTCCCTGCCCTCCCCGAGCTTGGGGAGCGGCCGCCTGTAGCTCTGATCCGCCGCTAGGGGGCGCCGTGCGCGCGCACTTGCTGCTGGTGTCCAGCCTCCGCCCTCCCCGCTCAGTGTCCATCTGCTCCCCGCTCCGCAGTCAGGTCCTAAAATACAGAGTGACGCCCTCAGTTTCCAGGGTGAAGGCAGGGTGTCAACGACTCTGCAGCTTATTCCGTTTCCTCCCCTCTTCCCCCCACCCTGTGAGGCAGAGCTGTACCAGTGTTCAGTGGAGAAGAGGTCACCCTGCCTTTACCCCGGGGCTCCTCGAGCCAAGCTCCGCACCAGGTCCAGGTGGGAGTGTTCGAGCTGCACTGGGAGCCCGGGCGAGGCTGCTGTTCCGCCTCCCGCCTGCTCCTCCTAGGTGCACCCGTGCCCCGCCCCCCCCACCCTTGATCCCCGCAGGCTCTTCATCCCTCCTGGCCAGCCTCCCTCTCTCCCTCCCTCCCTGGAGGGCACGAGTCTTAAGGAGCCTTAGGATGCCTCTGCTTCTCCCTCCCTGTACTGCTACTCCACTTTGTTCCCAGTGCCTGGCTGGAGGCCCCTGACCTCTCAGCCTCCGGGTTCGCCTGGGGCTCCTGCAGCACCCGCCGGGGCGTCTGAATCTGGGCCCTGGACTTGGAGGCAGAGGGACGGGGTGGCCGGTGATTCTGAACCCGCACTTACTCTCTGGCCCCTTCCCTCCACCTTCTTGGCCCCTGATGTCGCTGCCACCCCTTTGGTGGGCGTCCGCCGTAAAGGGCGCCGCGAACACGCTGTCTTTGCCGTAGGTTTGGGCCCGCCACCCAGCACCTGGTCCTGAACGAGAGCTGCCCGTCCGTCCACAATCTCCGCAGCCACAAGATCCAGACGCAGCTGAGCCTCATCCACCCTGCCATCTTCCCCCCACTCGCCACCCCCCAGCGCCAGGTAGTGTCCCCCGCGGTCCCCTGGCCCGGCGTCTTGTCTTCTCCTTCTCCTTCTCTCCACCGAGCGCATCTGTGTCTTCCAGGAGGAACACGCCGCCCTCCCTGTGCCCACAGTCCGGGGCGAATGTCTCCTCAAGTATCAGCTCCGTCCACGGAGGGAGTGGCAGAGGTCTGTGCAACTCCGAGCGGATGGAAGGGTCTAGACCGGGGGTGCCCAGCTCTTCTCCGGAAGGGCCCGGCGGTGTGTGTCCCAGGTGTTGAACTCTGCCCCTGCCATGGCGGACAGACGGGGCCTCGGGTCCAGGGAGTTCCCCAGGAGGGTCGTCTCCGCCGGACGCCGCTCTGGTCGGGGTTGCGGGGGGAAGAGGAGGCCAGTGATGATTCTCTTTCCTAAAGGTGTTTTCCCTCATGAAAACTGTGCAGGGGATCCATTGTTTGACAACAAAGAACAAAGCATTTGATGGAGAAGATTAGGCAACTGTGATCCGGGGATCCTGTCCTCCAAGATAGGAGATAATAATCGTTAACATTTGTTTTTTGAATCGGACCATGTGGGGAATAATCTTTTTGAAAGTGTGCGTGTGGGTCTGTGGCGTGACAGGCCCGTCTTTTCCTGAGTCATGACTCATTCCGTAGCCTTCAGGAACGAGGCTTTTCTGGGTGCCCCACGGGGGGATGTTTGCTCATTTCAGACGTTTCTAGGTTGTTGTCTTAATGAAGTGGGAAATGCTTGGAGTGTGTCTCAGTGGAACTCTGTCCCCTAGAGCGATTCTCAGATGTGGGACTGCCGGGTTGCAGTGTGACCCATTCTGAGGCCTCTGCCCCCAGGTCGGGCCAGTAATCCCCTTGTGGGTCATGTGTCCAGTGTGCGTCTGGAACAGGTTGCATGATGAGGGGACCCCCAGGTGCGGGCTTGGGACTTCGGAGCCTACTGTCCACGTCTGCACAGGTGGTTCGCACACCTTGACTCATGAGTCTGGCACGATGCCCAGATCCTCCTTTACCTGGGAGCGTGCATCCCAGGCCTCGTGCGCTACTCTGGGGAGCTGGCTGGGCCTTGCTGCATGAGCTCGCGGGGGAGCGTAGCACCCCGTCAGGGTGGAGAGCCGCTGACCCGCAGCCGGCCTCTCCGTGTGCCCGGACCCTGCGAGCATCAGGGCCTGCTAGAGACAGCCCCGGGCTGCAGCCCACGGTGCCAGATCAGGGCCTGCGTTCCACAGGGTTCTTGGGAGGAGCTGTGCCCACGCTCGTGTGGGAGCCGCTGCTCTCGGGCCAGGCTGGTCAGTAGCACCGTTTGACCCTCCTCCTGTCCCTTCCTCGGGCTCCCAGGGGACATCAGGCCAAGTCTGGAGACATTTGTCATTGTTATGGTCCGGCACGGGTGCAGGTGCTGGTGGCATCTGGTGGGCAGAGGTCAGGACCCCGCTGGATGTCGGTATTGCCAGGATCGTCAGATTCTGAGCTGCGATGTCCTGAGGGGCCAAAGCTGTTCGGATCGGGCTCCGAGACCCCCGCTTCCCTGAGAAAGGTTCTGCACGGTAGGAGAATAGGACTGGCCCAGGCTTGCTTCGTTTTCTGTCTTGATTTGGAGAATTTTCTGCAGATTGTGTCCATAAGTTGGCTCTGGATATCCAGATGGGTATGTGCTTGAGGCCACGTGCCTGCTGCGGTCACTAAGATGCTGTCCTCCCTGCAGGGATGCTGTCGTTGTCTGCGATCCCAGTGAATTCATTGCTGAGGCCCTGGAGCTCCCCAACTTCCAGGAAAGCGTGCAGGAGTACCGCAAGGCCACGCAGGCCAGCCCAGACCCAGCAGGTGAGTGGAAGAACCCGGAGCCGCCTTCCTCTGTGGGCCGCTGCGGGTGTTTTTGGAGCACTCGGGAGAACCACAGCCTGGCACCGTCTAACCAGGTCTAGTTCCATGACCCAGTGCGGCTTTATTCTCTAAACACACCCGTGCCCGCGCCTGCTCGCCTGCCCTCCCCACCAAGACCAGTTCAACCTGAGCATTTGGCGACGGCTCCCAGCCCTTGTGTGGCAAGTACGTACCATGGGCCATGGTTCTGGGCGCTCCTGCAAGACCCTGCAAAGAACTTTGGACCGGGCCTCCGTCGACGCGGGATCTGGTCCTGGCCTGGCTAATGGGGAGCCACAGCAGACCAGGCCACGTCCCTCACCTTGCTGGGCCTTCATCACCGCATCAGGAAAAGCCGTTGGGGGAGTTTCGGGACTGCTGCCCCAGTAGCTGGCTTTTCAACTAGTGCTAGAAGCCGAGAACGCCGGACTAGAAAGCGGGGAGCGTGAATGCAGCTGGAGGGTCTTTCCCTCCATGGCATGTTCTCCGGGGGAGTCTGCCTGGGCTGGTGTAGAGCCTCCCCTCTCGTGGAAGGGGCACATCGGGTCTCCCTGGACTCCAGTCCTGGCTCTGCTTCTTCCCCTCTGGTGGGCTGACCCTCTGATCCTGTTTGCTCCCCTGTAAGCTTGGGGTTCCTCCCAGCAAGGTGGTTATGGCACCTGCAGGAGGAATAGGTCTGGTGGTAAGGGCTGGACGCCAGGCAGACATCCGCTCCTTGAGCTAAATGATTTGTAGCCTGAAGAAGTGCCCTTTGTGCTGTGAAAGATCTAGAGAAGGTCTCTGGAAAGAAAGGCTGTGGGGTTTATTTGCTGTGCCTTGCAGATGGCCACTTACCCACAAATAGCCCGGGGCCCTGCCTTCAAGGAGGTCCCTACAGAGGGACCCCTGCCAGGTGGGACCTCTGGCCCCTCCTGGGAGGCAGGCCCTACCCTTCTCATGAATGCTGTCCCTTTGGGTAATGGACCCTTCTACCGTGTGTTTTCCACAGAGAAGAGAACCCAGTATCCAGAAATCGTCTTCCTCGGGACGGGCTCCGCCATCCCGATGAAGATCCGAAACGTCAGTGCCACGCTTGTGAACGTAAGGTACTGCTGCTGTCCCAGAAGCCTCCACGCACGGGGGCGCACGCGCTCCCCCCACCCCCACCCCCAGCCCGCGGCCAATTTGAAGACGCAGCCGTGTGAAAGCGTGTACCCTTGTCACCTTGGCGAGAGCGCCCAGAAGAGGAGTAGTGGGTGTTAATGCCTTTGAGAGTTCCTGGGAATCCTGACTTCATTCCCTGTTCTGTCTGTCGACAAAAACAGCCGGCTCTGCCGTGGGCCGTGCACCTTGCTAAGAGATGATGTCACTGAATTTTCACAGTAGGCCTAGGAAATCGTGATTAACCCAATTCCTTGATCGGTAGACTAACGTCTCAAGAGATTACTAGTTCCCACAGCTGGTCAGGGGTGGACCCGGAGCATGAGTTGGTGTCTACACCGCTGGCTGGGCCGTGCCCTAACTGGTGACCGCCAGTGCGGGGGGACAGCTGCAGGGTGTGTGCGTTGGTCTCGTGATCAGCCTCCCGACTGCCGGTGGGTTTTGAGGGATTCTCTTGGGTTTCCTGGTGTCCTTGTCCCCAGAGAGGTCAGCCCGGGTCCCCAGCCATGTTCACGTCTGCAGGAAGTGCAGGCTGGCTCTGAAATTTTGCTTTGTCATCCTGGATGCTGGCGGTGGAGGGCGACTAAGCAGCTAACGCGTTCGTCGCACACAGCGCTTAGAAGTGCGCCCCGCTAGCAGAAACACCCGCTCTGGGACACACTTCTCTTGCCGCTGAGGACATGCAGTGAAGCGGCTCGGCAGGCCCGGCCTGTCCTCCCTGGGGGTTTGACGAGGGCAGCAGGTGCACAGCAGCCAGATCTCCCGTGTCCACGCCCAGTGCCCGATGCCGGGAGCACCCACAGGGGCGTCACCACGTTCCGTTTAAACAGTCCAAGGTGCATCCTTGGGGCTGTGGTTTTCGCCCTCCCGTTCCCCAGACTGTGTGGCTCTGGGGACTCCGCATACGTTCAGGGGTTTCAGGGTTCCGAGGCTAATCCGTGCTTTTGTATAATGAGCTTGGATACTGGAAAACGGCCTTCGTGTTTAGAGAAGCTTCTCGGAATGAGCACGATGGGTTCTGGACGACGTCGGAAGCGCAGAGCCGCTTCCTGCTCTTCTCGCTGAAATGCAAACCCTCCAGACCTCGAAGCCTTGCGTGGTGGCGTGACTGTCGCTCTTGTCCACAGCCCTGACAGGTCGCTGCTCCTGGACTGTGGCGAGGGCACGTTTGGGCAGCTGTGCCGTCACTACGGAGACGAGGTGGACAGGGTCCTGGGCACCCTTGCCGCTGTGTTTGTGTCTCACCTGCACGCGGATCACCACACGGTGAGCGATGGCAGATGACGGGGCCCCAGAGGACAGGAGGGGCTACTCCGGGCGCCGGCTTTTCCTCTCGCTAGTGCTGTCACTCAGCTGGGGGAGCCTCCTTGTCCCGCCAGACGCCCTGCTGTCCTGCAGCAGCGAGGCCTTGGCTGGCCTGCTCTGAGGGGACCTCAGCTGGAGATGGGAGGCCTGCTGTCCCTGGGCTAGCTGGGTCCCCAGTCCCCACCCTGGTCACACTGCCCACGGCAGCGTTGGGGGATGGTGGCCGATAAGGAGGAAGGACGACTCCAGAACCCAGATGTTGGGCGGAAAGTTGACTTTGACCGTGGCTCACGCCGTGTCCCCTTCCTCCCCGCCCCCACAGGGCTTGCTCAATATCCTGCTGCAGAGAGAACGGGCTCTGGTGAGTGTGGCCCTCGATCGTCCTGACACTTGAGTTTGGTGGCTTGCACGTCTGCGGCCACACCCCCTGTCACCGGGAGCCGTTCCTGCTGTGGACTCAGTGGCTCCGGTGTCCTTGTCTCAGGCGTCCCTGGGGAAGCCGTGTCCCCCGCTGCTGGTGGTGGCCCCGACCCAGCTCAAGGCCTGGCTCCAGCTGTACCACAACCAGTGCCAGCAGCTGCTGCAGCACGTGAGGTGAGCGACGGCGCCCCAACCCCTGCCGGCGCCTTTCCGGGGGTCGGGGGGACCAGTGACCGGCGCCCGCTTTCATACAGGTGTCTTCTCTGCTCTGTGATTCTGTTCTGGTCCTGAGATTGTCCACAATATACTCAGGGGCCAAGTCCCTGAGCAGTACCTGGTACAGAGCTGGCCCCTCCCATCCCGCGTGGTCTATCTGCTTGCCCAGGGTCTATACCGGCCTGTGGGGCGGGCCTCCCTCTACCCCCACCACGGGCAGTGCCCACCCACCAGGTCCCTTGCCACGGCCTGGAGGGCTTGGTTTGGCTCTTTTTAACTGACTCCTCTTTCCTCTAAGTGACAGGTTTGTGTTTCTTTATGATAAGGAGTTTGGAGCTCTGCAGCCAGATGCTTGAACTTGGAATCACATTAAAAAAACTCTTTCATGTTCACTGTTGAACCGTTGTTGTGTCCGCCCAGCCTGATTCCTGCCAAGTGCCTTCAGAAAGGAGCGGAGGTCTCTAGCCCCGCCGTTGAAAGACTGATGGGTTCGCTGCTGGAAGCGTGTGAGCTGGCGGCGGTAAGGGCACACCCACGGCACCCACGTTGGGGGAAGGTGGGGCGGTGGTGACGGGGGCTCCACTGCACAGCCGCTCGCCTGCTACTACAGTTTCAGACCTGCCTGGTGCGGCACTGCAAGCACGCTTTTGGCTGCGCGCTGGTCCACACGTCCGGCTGGAAAGTGGTCTACTCCGGGGACACCATGCCCTGCGAGGCCCTGGTCCAGATGGGTGAGTAGAGGCAGCCGACCGCGAGGCCGCCCCAGTGAGCACACGGGGCAGGGGCAGCTCGTGCAGTGTGTCTCAGGCACGGGCTCTGCTCCACTGGCTGCTCTCGTTACTCCCTAGGGAAGGACGCCACCCTCCTGATACATGAGGCCACGCTGGAAGACGGCCTGGAGGAGGAGGCCGTGGAAAAGACACACAGGTAGGGGAGAGCCCTGAGCCGCAGTGACCTGCTCTGTTCCCTCCCAGGTGACACACGGAGCAGCCTCGCGTCAGCCCTGCAGGGACACACTGTGCTCTCTGGTGACAGTGACAAGAGGCCAGCTGGCCTGCTTCCCACCGAGGCCGTGGGGGTTCTGAGAGTACTCCCGGTGCGCGCGTGCCAGCAGTCAGCCACGTCAGGGAACTGCCCGGGGCGGATCTGGGCTTTGCTGGGATGAGTGTGTGTAGCGCCGCCCTCCCCTCGCCACACCCCGCAGCCATGAGGAGCCGCCTGCCTTTCCCTGCTGCCCTCACCGACAGGCGGGGGTCGGCCAGTGCTTGGTCCAGGCTCCATCTGGGGGTGTGGGTGAAGACTCTGGTCCATACGAGAGTTTGTGTTGGCCGGAGACATGGCCTTCCCAGGGTACATGGGGGAATCTGGGGGCCGGGGTCTTCCCTGTGTTTGGACATTAGCCTCACGCAGCCCCTCTGTTGGCAGCACCACATCCCAGGCGATTGGCGTGGGGGTGCGGATGAACGCGGGGTTCACCATGCTGAACCACTTCAGCCAGCGCTATGCCAAGGTGCCCCTCTTCAGCCCCGACTTCAACGAGAAAGTGGGGATCGCCTTTGACCACATGAAGGTCTGTGCCGCGTGGGCCAGTGGGGCTGGGGTAGAGGCTGCGCTCCCTCCGCGGGGTACTCGGGGCCAAGGGTCAGAGGGGTCTGCACCAACTGGGACGGCAGGGCCCGCTGGAAGTGACTGGGGGACTCAGGCCTGGCCCTTCCCCCACCCACGTGACTTGTGCCCCAGCACTTGCTGGGGAGACCGTGTGCTCCACTCCCAATGGGGGAGCCAGCCTCGCCCCTCTGGCCCCCCTGAATGAGGGCAGGAGCCGGGGTTTGCCTCTGAGGACACTGGTTTTCAGAGTATGGGCTGCCTCTCCTTTCCGGAGGCCCATTCTGTTTTACCCCCTTAGCCAGGAGTCGGGCGTCAGTGCCCCTTTCTTGACAAGCCTTCCTCCCTCTCCCCCGGCCTCACCCGTTTTCCACTACGATCAGCTGCCACAAAGGTGGGCAAGGAGGGAGCTGGCGCCTGCCCTCTGCACAGCAGCTCCCTCCATCTCACTCCTGCCCGGCCCCCGGACGCATGTCCTGAATCTGGACTCGCCTTCCAGGTCTGCTTCGGGGACCTCCCGACAGTGCCCAAGCTGACCGCGCCGCTGAAAGCCCTGTTTGCTGGTGACATCGAGGAGATGGAGGAGCGCAGGGAGAAGCGGGAGGTGCGGCTGGCGCGGGCGGCCCTGCTGTCCCAGGAGCAGGCGGCCGGCCCTGAGGACGGGATGTCCCCACACAAGCGGGCCCTTGCAGAGCAGCCTCAGAGCCCACAGAGCAAGAAAGTCAGGGCACAGTGAGGGCGCGGGAGGGACCTGGGACTCGGGAGGCCGGCATCCTTCGCGTGGCACGGAATGGGCTCCTGGCCTGGTGGGAGCCAGAGGGCTCCGCTCAACGGGGAGGCACTGGGGTGCAGGGTGGTGTGCACCCAGGCCTCGGCAGAGACCCCTGCATGGGGATGGCCCTGCTGGATGCCTGCTACGGCCGGTCCTGACATGACTGCGGGCCGTGAGGCTGCTGGATGGAAGAATGGGGACAACTGGACCTTGGTACAAACCGCTTTTTAAAGAAGTCACATGGAAAAACGGCATGCCCACGCCTGCTCCGGCCAAGTTACTCGCTCTGCACGCCTGAGGCAAGCCACGTCCGGGAACGCTGGGTCGTGGGCAGGACTCCAGGAATAGCCTTTCCAAAGACGGAACACTGGGACGAGGCCGCCTGGGACCTGAATGCTCTGCTTCGTCCCAGTGCCCCCTCCGAGCAGTGTGTCCCTGCCCTGCAGGGTTGCGCTGTCTGGTACCCAGCGTGACCTGCAAGCCAGCTCTGATCGCAGCGACGACCCAGGCAGCTGCCATCCTGCTGTAGCCTAGTTTCTGACCGAGTCAAGCCATGTCAGCGACTCAGGAACAGCCATGTCTTCCCGCAGTCCCAGGGGGAGGTGGAGGCCACCTGTGTGCTTTGCCCCACGGCGAGAACAAGCCCCCGTCACCGCCTTCTTTTGGGAGAATTAATTGGACGTCAGGCGGGCCAACCCGCCCTCCTTTTGGGATTTGACAACACTGAGGTTAGTGTATGGAAATGAAATCATCTGATTAATTTGGTACTTATTTGTGAGAACACGGAGCTTGAAAAGCTCAGGTGATGTGGAAGACAGACTGAGGAGTTAGCCTGGCTCAGCCGTGACCTCCGATGTCCTCCTGAGGGGCACCTGCATGGACACATGTCCCCAACAAGCTTATCAACACATGAAGAGAGGCCACGCTCAGGGATAATAAACCTATTTTAATAACATTACTTTCAACAACTATTTGTACATGTATTTAAAGGTAACTTTCGACCCCTGGGCTCCCTTACAAATTGGGGACGTACCCATCCTTGCCAGGAAGCGAGCAAAGCTGTTAACATCCAAAGTTGGTGAATCCCCCCATCGGGGCAGAGTTATCTTACACTGTGTCGGGAAAAATAACTAAGCCTTTAAATTTCTCATTGTACACCTATACATTGCTTTAGTTTGGCTCAAATTAAACAAATATAGATTTCATATATACAAATATTATATCCTGTATAGGTATATCATCTATTTTAAAAGGATAAAATTGGAAAGTTGGACTTGGCATGCATGACCCGAATCTCTCAATCCCTCAATCCCAAAGTGTGACTGGACTCCCCGAGACGCGATGGGACTCCCCGAGGGGGAGCGTGGTGACCCACAGCTGAGCGAGGCCTGTCACAAGGCAGGGCCAGTGGCACCCACCTCATGTCCCCTCAGGCTGCCCTACTGTCCTCCACGTGCTCTGGGAAACAGATTTATTGCTAATCCCTGTGGCCGCTAGGAGGGAGAGGCAGGCTCCGGCCCCCAGCCTCTGGGAGCCTGGGGGCTGGAATTACTGTCAGCAGAGGTTGCTGTGGGGTGCGGGGGAGGTGGGGGGGACTGTGCGCCTTCCAGACCCCCTCCGGATCATCTTTTTAAACTCAGAAGTACAAAAGGAGAAGGTCCTGATGGGAGCGCTCAGTCCCGGGGTCGGAAAAAGTCAAACTGTTAGGAATTGAAACAGGTTTTGTCTTTAGCCATTGACTTTAGAGCCCACGCAGTAAGGGCGGCCTGAAAGATTTTTACACGGGCTGGCCCCCTCCCCTGCGCCCCCACCCCAGCTTGGGCAGCGGGCCTTCTAGCGTGCAGACCTCGTGCGCTGTAGGGGAGAGGAACCCTCCTCCCTCACCGGAGGCACGAGGTGTCCGAGTGTCAGAGCCCGGGCGGCAGCCGCGGGTGGATCCCGGCACGCCCACCCTCCTGCACGCCGCCCCTGCCCCCACCAGCCCACACCCGCAAAGGACCTTTCTGACACCGAAGCCCTTGGGCGGAGGGGGCGCCGCTGGGCGTGGAGGCTAAAGTGGATCAAAAGAGGCACAAAGTCAAAAGGCAAAGATCAAACAAAAGGCCAGAGTCACCACCCCGAGGGAACGAAGGAAGTCTGCACCCGCACGGGCCACGCAAGCCGGAGGGGACCGCGAGCCGCACAGCTGCAGCCCGGCGAGCCCTGGACGCTCCGGGGCGGGGCGGAGTGTGGTGGGCGGGGCCCGGCTATGTACACGCGGGGCGGGGCGGGCCGGGTCAGAGGGCGGTGCTCTCAGACTCCTCCTCCGAGTCCCTCTTCTCTGTCACCGAGTGTAGCCGAGCGTGCTCCAGGGGGCTCAGGCGGAGCGGCGGCCCGAGCTCTACGTGGATGGAGGGGATGTCAAAGTGGACGAGATCTGCAAGGCGGCAGAGAGAGAGAGGCGGCTGAGAGCGGCGGGAGGGGGTGGCGGCGAGGTCACCGGCCGGCGCGTCCTGGGGCTGGCGGAGGCAGCCTGGCGCACGGTGGGGTTGGGGTTGGGCTGCTCTGCTCCCGCTCACCCCGTGAGCGCGCAGGACCAGAGCACCCCAGTCCCAACCCGCCCGGGGACGTTCAAGGAGGAGCGCTGCGACAGCTCCCGCGCCACGTTCTCCGCACACCCTCCGGCTCCATTCCCGGAGGGGAGGCTGCTTTCAGGGCGGCCGCAGGAAGGGAGGGTAGGCAGCAGTGAAAAGCACCCCGTTCTCCAAGTCCGTGAACCACCGGGGGAGGCCGGGGGATAAACAACACATCTCGGCACCGGGACAGCTGCTCCCCTCCCAGAACGTCCTCACTGCGGGCACTGAAAGGTCATTCTGGAGATGGTTAGGGAGACTGCCCGAGGCAAGAGCTTTGCATCTGGGACTCCCGACCTCTGCAAGTTGGCAAAGACCAGGCCATTCCTTACAGCTGGCTGCTCTAAGGCAAGGCCACAGAGGAGGGGGCAGGAGGGGCAGTGCTGAGCCTGTGGACCCTGGGGGATCGTGGTGGGCCCCAGAACCAAGGACCCTGACGGTGTCACTCCTTCTGGCCTACCTCGTTTCTGACCCTATTTAGCCTTGCTGTCCTCTTGGAGACCCAGACAATGGGGGTGGGGGGGGCTGGAGTTCCTAGAACAGGGGCAACGCTGGGTCAGCCTGAGGTGGGTGGGCTGGTTTCTTAGTCTTAAGCTTTTTTTTTGTAAAGTCAACATTCAAGTCTAAACATACCATATCAGGTGGACAAACATTTGGACACTGTGCTAGAAGACACACAAACATGGAAGCTGTGGGACAGAGGTCCTTCTGTCACCAACCCCCCCACCCTCAGCCCCCAAAATGTCATTCCTGTCATCTCACTGCATCAGCACAGAGTTAGGGGTCCCAGGCTCGGCTCTGCCTGTGACACTCACTCCTCCTGCCTCGGGGTACAGCTACAGCAGCCTGTGTCCTGCCCTTTCCGCTGGGGCCACCTGCCCTGCAGCATTAGTTCCTGCTGTTAGATTTCAAATCCCATCTCTATCACACAGCGAGTGTGGCCTCGGGCGTGTTTACCTTACCTGTGGCCCAAAGGGGAATCCCAGAGTGGATGACAGGTTTAACCTGGACCTATCAGGTCCAATCCTGGCTGTTCCCTTAGACCCCTCGGGGAAGGCAACTCAATGGCCAGGGAGCAGGATGGGGAGAAGCCCCCACTGTCAGATCAGAAGCATCTGGAATGACAGCTGTGGGTGGGGGGGGGGCAAGGGACCCCTCGTGTTGTGCCTGCCCCATCTCCACAGGACCAAAGGTTTAGCGGCTTTTGTGAAGGTTCTGGAGGGCGGGAACTGGGGGAAGGGGGAGGTCCTCCCTGGTTTACTCTGGTGGCCCCAGACTGTGACAAGAACACCTGATTCCCTCCGGCTTCTCTCCTGCTTGTCCCTTGGTTTTAATTTTGAACATCGGCTCCCTGTGGCCAGAGGAGAGCAGGCAAAACCCAATATAAATGCTCCCCCAATACCGAGAGAGGAGGCAGCCGGCCCTAGGCCCTGGGGGACATAAACTCAGAGGACTGAATCCTACCACTGTGGATTCTTCAGGACTTGCCCGCTGTTCAGACCCGAAGAAGACAAGTCGAGCCCACTTTGGAAAGTGGGGGTCGGCCAGGACGACCCCATGGCCGCAGGGAACCCGCTCCCAACCCCGCAGTGGAGGCCGTGTCCCCTGGGCCAGGCGGGACCCTCCTGGGGACATTTCTCTAAGCCAAAGCGTATGCAGCGAGTGAGGCACCTGGCTCCAAAGCCTGTGGCGGGCAATCCAAGGACAGACACGCCACACGAAGAGCAGACCTGGGAGCCCTGTGGTACTGGGCCGAAGGGAGAGGGATGGCGGGGCTGACCCAGGTGCCCGAGAGCCAGAGGAGGGGAGAGCCTGTGAAGCCTGCTTGCGGCCTTCCTCCCATCTCTTAGCGCGAAGCCAGCCGGAGCCAAGGTGGCCAGTGATCCCCCGAAAGCCAGAGGAGCTCACGGACCGGAGTGCTCCCCGGAGGCTGGGGCGAGGCATGGAGCGGAGCTGCCATGCGGGGGGAGGTCCGAGCCACATGCAGAGCCGAGCGAGCGCCGGGGCCCGGCGAGCTGGGGCCGCTTACCCTGAAATCCCCCTCACACGTATCCACAACCGCGGCCCTCATGTCACACAGCTGCAGGAACACAACGACAGGATTCGGAGAAAGGAATAAACACGATGAAACGAGAACGGGACAATCAACTACACTGAGTATCACAGTCGGGGGCGGGGGGCGGGAACTAAAGCGTCACAGATGCTGCACGGGCCGAGACCCGTCCGGACGGACAGAACGACAGCCTGCTGCCAGAGAACACGACGGACGCACCACGGTGTGGGGGCTGGAGTGCTGTTAGAACTCAAGGTCAGCCGTTCCAGAAGAGCCCAGAGGAAGGCAGGGCACTCACTTCGGGTCCCCCAGTTTCAACTCCCTGGTGTTCCCACCTGTTTCTCTCCGGTGACACCCTGTGTCTGATGCTTCCCACATCCACGCTCCCCGGCAGCCCTTCCCTGGGGTGGCTGGAGAAGTGGGGTGCCTGGTGGGGGGGCTGGTGTGTGGGCAGGAGCAGCCCCTCGGGGTGACTCGGGGCGACCCTGAGCTCCTGCTGTCACCTGTGCCCCCTCCCGTGGGGGCTCACGTAGGAAACACGCCTCGCCACCACCGACTACCAGCAGGGAGTGGTGTCCTGGACTTCTGGGGAGGAATTTCCTTAATATTTGATAAGTCTCAGAGCAGACGTCAGCAGCTGTACATGCGACATGAGTCCCATCCAAAAGCAGAGCAGCCGAACCACCAGAGGCTGCCCGCTCCCCACGATACGAAGATCTCCTGACCCATCCGTAGCACGCCAGTTGGACGAGACCCGTCGTGGGTGCCGGGAGCCGAACTCCACAGGCTCACTCACCTTCCATCTGATCGAGGGGGAAAGCCTCACTCTTGGACTAAAACACGGGGGAAGTACGATCCCCGTCAGAAATCCCAGGGAACCAACAACCTAGGACCACACAGCCGGCCCTCGAAGCATGTGGACGGGTGTGTGTGGGCGTGTGCACGTGCGCAGCGTAGGGATGCGGTACGTGTGTAGTGATGTGTACCTGTGGGGGCGTGTTTGTGTGTGGGGGGGATTTGTATGCCTGTTATGAATCCAGTATTTGTGTGTGTGCAGGGAAGGTGTGTGTAAGTGTAGGGGAGCATCTGCGCGTTACATGCATGGATCTGGTGTGTGTGTGTGTGGTTTGTATGCATGTGTATGAATCCGGTAATTGTGTAGTATGTGTGCAGGAAGGGTGTGTGTATGTGTAAGGGAGCATCTGTGTGTTACGTGCACATATCCGGGGCGTGTGTGCTGCCTCACCTGCTACTCAGGACAGCCCTGAACAGACATGGCCAGGCTCTGCC